CCCAGACTTTCCATAGGGAGTAGCTGTTCCTGAGCTTGATAATAGTCCATATGATGAGTCTTCTCCATGTTTTCTCACAAGAGCAGATTTTTCCAACCAAATGCATCCTAGTATCAAGGAGCTTTTTCCTGCAGCTCAGCCTGTTTTCCCATTACTCTTCATCAAGTCACTTACTAAGCTCTAAAGCCCATCTATGTAGATTAATTTGCATTTCCATGAGGTGTAAGTCTCTAAGAAGGCAAAAGAAAAGGGAACTGCTATGCTCAAAACAAGAAAAACCTGTGCCTCGCTTCCTCTATTTTGGACAATTGTAGGTAGCTAAAGACAAATCCTATCCCTGGGTTATGTAAACAAGGAACCTGGTACAAATGGACCAATTCAGGCTGCTCATTCAGGCACAAAAGAAGGTTAAGGATAGCAGGATGTATTGGATTATTCCGAAATGCACCATGTATTTTTCTTGTGTGTATTTGACCCTACCTGCTATGAGAAGACAAAGCAAGAATGGGGTAGGACAAATTCGAAACATGTTTTCCTAAATTTTGCATTACAAGCATAAAAGGAAATCCAGAACATGATTGTTTCCAATTAATCTTGCCCAGTTCCATGCTACCTTTTACCATTTGGATGCTCACCTTAGACCCAGTTATTATAAAACACTACTGGCAAAGTTTAGGAAAACTATTGCACACAGTAATAGAGACTAAAATTAAAAAGTTTGTTCATGTTTTCTTCAATGTTTTTTCCTAAAGTATGAAAACCTGCTTTTCATCATTTTAGGGAATTATGACTACTCCCTGAATATTTCAACTTCCTGTACTTTTATTCCCCTCTTGGTTACAACATCAGTCTCAATTCCAAAATTACTCCAGGTATATATAACTAAGAATTTTATCCCTTGTACAGGTGCAGAAGTTTACTTTTGTTTGTTTTTCCCTAACCCAGCATAATAGTTTCTGTAGACCCCTTTGGTGACTTTTTCTTTTTTTTACATACTTTGCAGCCTACAGAGTGTTTCCTAAGTCAGCATGAAGAAAAACAAGAGACCGTTGTAAAGGCAAAGAGGAGAAAGAAGGTATGAAGGTCCCAGTGTGTTTGGGGACAGGGCAGTGGGTGTATGTGCTACTGCAAGACTTATAATTGGCACAACCCCCTGACAATGAAAAGTAATATGGTCATAATGTTGCAGCCTCTTTTAGAGAAGACTAGAAATTTCTAATTTTTAGACTTGACTCAAAATACCTATTCCCAGCCTGAACTGTGGCATCGTGTCTATACTCCACTTAAGGACTGTATGCATCTACAGCCCATGTGCACATGGTGCACACCAGGAAATTGTAACTGTGAATAAAAAAATGTGGAATTTCAGTTGCTGCAGAGTCTGACCCATTTCAGCAGTGTGGTTGGGCTCTAGCTGCTGTCATGTCTTTTGAGCCAAGACCTCTCCTTGTTCGCTCTTCTCCTCATAGCATAAGTATATAAATAAATACTCTGTATTGTTGCTCTGGCCATGCTCCATCCTCACCCACAACAACAAACACACTCTGCAGCCTGGTTGAAGATTATATGGCACCAGGCAGACTAATTGTCTTTCAGGACAGACTGTAAGTAGTTGGCTCCCTCACAAGTCTGAGAGGTGGCCTTTCTATACTATGTCAGGCCTCTTAATCATCTAGGGAATGGGAAGAGGGAAGAGTGGGATTTTGCTTTAAATGCGGCGCTGGCAGAGGTGACCACGCTACTCCACTGCAGCCAGAGCAAAGGCATCCCATAACAGAGATTGGTGAACTGACCTAACAAAAAGGCTCCATTCTCAGGCAAACAACAGGCACTTAGTTATACCTTTGGTTTCAGCGGGCCTAGGCCACTAAGTTGACATATACAGCCTGTCAAAAAATCCCATTAAGAAATATTTATCAGGTTGATCTATGGGTTCCAAACAAAGTGCTCTCTCCAAAAATAAGGAAAAGGGGGGTGGGGAAACCCCTTTGCTTTTAAGCATCTGGAATGAATTGGAAGAAAAATAATAAAACTTCCTCCATGAGGAACATTTCCCCACAGCTGTCCTTGGAGGAAGAGAGTTTGCTCAGGTGTCCTTGCTCTTGCTCTTACAGAATTTTTCATTAGTATCAGGCTTCTCTCCTCCAGAGTGCCATAATTTTCTTGAAGGAACCAAGTGGCCCAATGAATGATATAATGGTCCCGTGGAACAGCATCTTAAACTGAATTGCCAAGTATAATGAGCCTGATAGTTCTGTCTTGCTGTCTTCTAAATGAGAGGTTCCCAAACGTGGGTCACTTAAGAGGCAGGGGCTGGAGAAAAGCATTTGTGGTTGATACGAAGAACAACAAAGGGGTTTGGTTGTGGTCCTCATGCAGAGGCTGTCTGTGCTGCAGATGGCTTCTGGTCATTCTTTGGGAAGACAGTTGTTGCATGGCATTAAAATACAACAGTGATAAATGAAGCTGAGTCTTGGGAAGGAATGCTACAGATTCAAGCACTGCAGAAACCTGCTGAAGAGCCAGACATCCTCTGGAAGGTCTTCCAGGGACTGCAGGAGGCTTTGCCCCAGACCAAAGGTAGACTGAGAGGAAGGCATAACCACTTCATCTCCACGTGTCCCACTGTCAAAGGTTCAGCTGGAGTCTTGCAAACACACAGCTGGCTTTTAGCAGAGGTGAAACAGGCAATGGCCAAAGTGGCAGATAACTATGAGAGGCAGCTGCCTACTTCGCCTTTGCTGCTTCAGCAGCCCCCATATGGCTCTTCCCCATTCAGCCTTCTGCCCCTTATGCTGCTGTTACAGGAGTATTTGGGGTATATTGGGCAAGAGGACAGATTGAGTGATGGGGAATGGAAGAGAATGAGAGAGTGGGTGCTGAGATGGAGGGATGGAAGAAGGTCTGTCCCCTACATTAAAATTCCTGCCATAGCTCTCTTCAAACTTTCCACTGCTCTTTGCTGCTCCAGGCCTTAGCCTGCCAAACTGAAGGTACCCACCATCCATCCAATGCTGCAAAAATGCTTCCAGGTCCATCTCATCTCCGTGAAATCCCACTTTGCCTCATAAATACGTACCCTATTGCCCCATTCTAACCACACTCTTCTGCCCTTTTTCACTTCTAGGCTTATGCTGCCATGCATCCTCATGATGGCAAGTTCAGTTTAGCTTACACAGCTGAGAAACCTTAAGCTGGCTTTTCAAAACTGAATCACATCTTAGTGAGAACAAGAGAGGCTTGACATTCTTGCCATTCTCTCCAGGCTGCCTCTATCCTTGAAAATTTGCTGTTTTCTTAAATGCTGGCAGTTCATTCAGATAAGGGGAATCTTGGACTATTCTACCCCCATGATCCATTTAGTTATGGAAGAAAGTACAGCAACACTCACTTTGGTGAGAATTCATAGAATCATAGAACCAACCAGGTTGGAAGAGACCTCAAAGATCATCGAGTCCAACCCTACCATGGTCACTAGATTATGGCACTATGTGCTACATCCAGTCTCATCTTGAAAACCTCCAGGGATGGTGAATCCACCACCTCCCTGAGCAGCCCCTTCCCATGCCTGACTACTCTCTCTGTAAAAAATGTCTCAGACCTGTTACTTGCTAACATTCCTCAGGTGTAAAACAGAGTCATTATGAACTCATAATCAGGCCCTAAAAATTAGTAGTTTGTTTTAAAAATTTTACAGTTTGGAAGAACAAAGCATCTGCTGAACTCTTGCTGCTTGACTTCTGCTTTTGTTGTTAGCTTTTAATTCATTTTCATCACCCTTGCATGGTATTCTGTGAATATTGCTAACCAGCTTTCCTTTGGAAATAGTTACCCTGTTTCAATCAAAATATAACCAAGTCTTATATAATCCTGTTGTTACACTTTCAGAATAATAAAGCAAATTATGAAAAAAACCCTTACTTTTCAAACTGATATTTCAGTGTAGCAATAGCAAAGCTCAAAAGAACAACTTTTAGTTATGTTTCTGTTACAGCAGCCTTTCAGGTGAGTGCATGAGATTTTTTGTGTTCAGGGTCACAGACATCTCACCAAAGTATCTGAACTTGCACCTGAAGACAGCATTCCCACTAAAGACAAAGGAAATCTTGTCTCCTTGTAAGGTGTTTTCCAATTAAGCTGTAATTATACTAATATAACTGTGTGAAGTTATGGAGGAACACTTATTTACAGTGTTAGCTAGCCAAAGAGCAGAAACTATAGAACTGCCATACTTACTCATTTGCCTTGGTGTTTTTTAGAAGAAGATTTCTGATATCCTGCAACAATCTGCTCCAAAGCCTGGTGTCCCTGCAGATCTACAAAACCTGCTTAGTCAGCATTTTGGTGAAAACCGTTCAGTGATTGAAATAGAGGAATTAAAGCTGTCAGGTAACACATCCAATATTTAATTGATAAGTATTGGTTTTTTCATGTTCCTATTGAGTTCTTTTTCTGCAGAAGGAAGAAGATTTTTTGGGGCAGGTCTTGGGTTGTACTTTTTGATGGAAGTCTTTTCTTATGCTGGACATTAATTTGCTGTTCAAGTTGAGATGTTAGTTTCTTTGGAATAAATGCAAGGTTTCTTGGACTTACAGAAACAAAATGTTGTTTAAACATGTCCTTTTATAATAGAGTATTAATTTCAGGAGCTCTCTTTTCTTACAGAAATTGCATGTTTCCTAATACTAGCTTCCAAGATGCTGAGAGAGTGTCTGGGATTATCTGAGTCAATCCAGATGCATAATAGGAGGACTGACAGAATTAGACGAGGAAATAATGAGACATCATTCTGATATGGTTATGAGATGCTGAATGCAATGGTTTTTCAGGGAGTGGCATGAAATGAGATGGTAATTTTGGTCAACGTGTGAAGTGACCAAGTTTTATCTATTTGGTTTTCTGTATTCTACTTCCAGTTAAAAGCCAGTGATAGAGAAGGCAGAGCAGGACAGAGCAGGGTTAGCTTCTGTCAGCTGGAGGTTGCATTGAACTTCTCTGCCTCTTACTCTACAGATAGAGGCAGTGTCCATTATTTGTTGGTAGTACTCATGAAGAGCAAACAGCCTGGTAACTAACCTGCATTCACATTTGGTACTTCTTGAACTGTTAGTGACCTCTGGCCAATGTAGGAGCCTTCTAGCCCAGCAGTGCTTTGTCTCGTTTAATGTATAATCCTGTCTTTCTAGATAAATATGCTCTTCCTTAACACCTGTGATTGTAGGTTGCCCCTTTTTTATTTTTGTGGGTCAGGTTCAGCTTTTTTGTTAAATCAAGAAAACCTGGAGAATTCCCATACAGATTGCTTTGAAAAGCTTGTGTTAAGTATTTCTGGACCTATAAGGTTTTTAGTAAATAATAAATTGCTTTGGTTTCTTTCTTATTAAAAGAGCCCTTTGGGCTAGTGAAGTGACCCGTTTCCATATGGATTGGATCTTGGGTTGGATGGGGATATTTTTGCTTAATTTTTGTGCTGGGAATTGAAGGCTTAGAGTGCCAGGGAGTTTACAAACTTGTACAGCTGTCAAGCCATTCACGTCAAAGCAGTGAGCAAATAACAAGGAACTGCTTTGGAGTTGTGTGTTCTTGTTAACTGACAGAGTGCAGAAGGTCAGGTTTGTAGCCAGCATGGTCTCTTGCTGCAGTCTGGAGTTATGTGTTTCTTCCCCCCTTTCTGAAACTTTCATTTAAAATTGTTGTAAATACTCCAGTGTTGTTGGGCTGTTGCTGGAAAGTCAGTTACTGAAGCTATGTCCTTCAGAAACCATTTTTTGAATTGTTCAGTCATTAATGAGACAATGTATTCAGAAGAGCAGCCCCTGCCCTTGCCCACCAGCAGCAAGTGCATCATTTAAACATGATTCTTCTAGCAAATCAGCTGCTAATTCTTCAGCTGTACACATTCATTTCCTTTGGAGCTCAAGTCCCAGTAAATGTCAGTCTCTGGATTTAATAAAATGTATCAGTGCAAAATAAAAGTTTTTTAGCAAGACAACACCCATTAAATGAAAGAGAAATGGAGATTAGCTATGCTCAAGAAAGTACAGAGACAGGACTTCAGCTAGGCATTAGCTACAAACCAAGTTTCTCACACTGTCTATTCCAATGAAAATGATGGGTTGATGCTGTCAGCATTAGCACAATGCACCATCCATGTGAACATGAGTGATGTCTTTAAGAAAACTTCCTTAATTTAGTTAAAATATATCAGCAAACATCCATAGACAGACGTCCTGAGGTGCTGTGCTTCATATAAAATTATGACTAATATGTGTGTCCTAGAAGACAGAATTGTTAATGCTCTGTGGGAGCATATTGTTCTGTCAGGCAGAGAACCCTTAACAACAATGGCATGTTTTCAGACCGTGTAATTTTGATCACTTTTTAAAGAACTTGGTCTTTCTATATTGACACTGGAGAAAGCACCTTCCAAAGAACCTTGTTAGGATCTTGCCTTTCTTCATTGTCTTTATATGAAGCTTGAAGTTAAATGGTGTGTCTAGCACAGAGTGCTCTTAAAAGACTTACTAATTA